TGAGGCACTGGAACAGGTTTCCTGGAGAAGTTGTGGATATCCCATCCTTAAAAGTGTTTAAGGCCATGTTGAATAGGTGTTTGAGCAACCTGGTCTAGTGAAAGGTGTCCCTGCCCATGGCAGGGGGGTTGGAATCAGATGATGTTTAAAGGTCTGTTCCAACCCAAATCGTTCCATGATTCTGTGATTGTGAGGTGCTAGGCTGCAGGTTCCCTCCACAGTAGAGTCCCACCAGGGCTGGATATGGTCAAGCCTGGAACTTTGGTGAGAGGGTGTTGCCAAGCAACCTCGCAGAATCTCTGTGAACACTCCATTGCAGTTGGTAACACAGTATCCCTTCCTGTCATTCTGCCTGCATGGGTACGTCCTGTAATCACCATTAATGTTTTGATTTATGTAAGGTGAGAGCCTTTGCACTTCAAAGCCAAGCTCTTGAATGTGAGGATTGTTTTTTTAAACAGGTGCTTGTGGCTGTTTAAGACTTTCAGGTCAGAGTGTGTGCCAGAGGGTGGATTTGGGAGGTAAAGAATTTGGCACTTTAGTTAGCCATTGGTATCTTCATTTTGGGGTTGCCAGATGCAGAGAGAGCTTCATATGGGAGCATCTTTTATGTGTGGGCTGCTTCTTGTGAACTAAAGCAATTACTTTATGTTATGACTTTCAGTAGATTTAACTTATCCCCAAAGTGCCTTCATGTTTAATTAACTTTTCTCTCATGCTTACAAATAGTTTTCTAATGCCTGGTCAAGCTAAGATACAGTGGAAAGTTGGATACAAGGCAAAGAGAAGCAGACCAAGTGTTTTTGTCTTTGTCTCCATGACTTAATTTTCTTTATGAAGCCCAAATTGACATTGTCTTCTGAAATGTTTGCAAAGTGTAACAGCGCTGAGATGCTTTTTCTAGCATATGTAGTCATAGAAAATCAACATGAGACCTTATTTCCAGTTAAGAATAAGCAACCTGTTGTCTAAAGAAGCCTGTGAACTAAAAATGACTTAATGCAATCATGCAGATAAGTGCTATGAAAAACTTCCATAATTTCTTTCTGTTTTTTTCCTATCATCTTCAGAATTAATTTTTTTCCTGCTCCCTGAGATTTTTTTACTGCAAGAGGGAAAAATAAACCTGAAAACAGTGTGTGTTTGTAAATGCTCAAACATTTGTTCTTAAATCTCGCTATAAAAAAGTCAACGTTTGACCTAATTTTTAAATAGAGTTGAAAAACTTGGCTAAGGGTCAATGACTCTTGCTTTGTGCACACCATATTGCAATGTACAGATTATGTTTGCTAGTTTCAATGGGGTTTTTCTGTACTTGCCTATCTTAGCTCTTACCTGCCCACTTTGTATTTTAGTACTGCAGAAGCAGTACTGCAAAAAATGGATGACAGGGAGAAGATAAGCAGGGTATTTCACACAGAGAAATTACTTAGTTGTAATTTTAATTTAGCTAAACAAACTTCTTCCAAAGCGTAGTGTAGTCTAAAAAGCTAGTTTTGCTTATAATTTAACTTCTTACAGTCATGCCACAGCTATACACTAAGGGTGGAAGAAATACTTTCTCCAGAAGATACTCATTGATATACTGCATAATATCTTACACTAAGCTTTTTGAATTGCCTTATGACTTTTGAATGAGCTCTGCTTACAAACAACTGTTTCAGGTTCTGGGTTTTCACTTCAAATCTTACTAAAAACTGAATTCACTGATACCTGATTAATCCATATTTGATCTTGTGCCAGTCTCACCTGTGACCTCAAGTGGTCCTTTGTCCCAAGTCGAACTCATGTGAAAATGATAGACAGCAACCATATTCCCTCTGTCTTAGTTTTGCTCTATTAAATTAAGTTAGTCCACTGCCCTTTTAAATCAAAGGTGCTTTGGTTTTTAAACATCTTCATAACCTTCTTTGATAGGTTTTTTTTGTTTGGGTTGGTTTTATCTGTTTGATTTATGTTGGTTTGTTTTGGGGGTTTTTGTTTGTTTTTGTTTTGTTTGTTTTGTTTGTTTTGTTTGTTTTGTTCTTTGTTTTTTTGTTTGTTTTAGATCTGAATTCTTTCATGGTTTGGTTTTTGTTTTGCTTTTGGTTTTTCTTATGAAACCTTAATTTTCCATAGTACTTTGTATATCCTCTCCCAAATCCCAAGGTGATTTTTTTTTTGTCTGCTAGGAATTGCTTTGTCCCGGGTTCTACTAAACTCTTGGATTATTTACATGATAATAATTGATACACTGTGTTTTGTATCTGGCTAGGCGTAACTATCACATTTACTAAACCCTATTTTAGAGCAGAAATACTTGTTATCAATCTCCGTGACAGAATGATGTTCCTATTTTCTCCTCCCGTGCCTAATTTCATCTTTTGTCTATATGAAGTGTCTTGGTAAAACTACTATAAAAGCACCCAATACGCCCACAGGTTTTTTGCATGTTTGTGACTAATCTTTCTTGTTTCTCTTAATTAGGAAAGCCTCAATATGGGAAGAAATAACACAGAAAAAGCTGACAATCCAGGTATCATTGTAGGCTAGTTCTATTTGAAATTTTCCTGACTATGTTCTAGCCAAAAGCCTTGTCTTAAACACTTGAGATGGGCTGAACTACTGGTTATTTTTCATCTATTAGAAAAATCTATGTTGCTATTGACATTAAAAGCCACAGGCTCTCGGGCTGTACTGTAGAAAACTCAGAACAGGTATTCAGAGAAAAAAAAAAAAAATCCATGTTTTTCCAAAACGCTTACAAAGGTAAAAGGTTGTGGACAGGTGGAAATGCATGGCGTGTATTGTGTTTTGAATGTATCATCATTCGCAACAGTACTTACACAGTTTAACATTATGTTGATGTGCAGTGGTTTCGTCAGGACATGAAGCAAAAGATGATGGTCAACGTCGCTCCATTCGACAGAGGAAAGCTGTTGAGCGCTATCAAGCTCCATGGGAAGGTAGGTGTGGGTGTGCTGGGTTGGCCTTAAGGTGGATGCCACTTCTCAGCTGGAAAGGGGAGAAAAAATAAGATGGAAGAGAACTTGTAGGTTGAGATAAGGCAGTTTACTAAAGCAAATGTGCACAAGGAAAGAGGAAAAAATGATTTTATTTTCTGCATCCCATCAGCTAGCCATGTCTGGCCACTTCCCTTGAGGCAAGGCTTCAGCAGGCATAGCGGTTGCTTTGGAAGGCAAACATTGTACATAATGAATGCCACAGCTTCCTCCTTCTTTTCTTAGGTTTTGTGTCTGAGCTGATGCCATATGGTAGGGAAAATATCCCTTTGGCTGATTTGGGTCAGCTGAACTAGCTGTGTCCCCTCCCAAGATCTTGCCCACCCCCAGCCTATTGATGAAGGGCCAGAATGTTGGAGAGACAGTGCTGACACTGTGGGAGGACTGCTCAGCAGTAGCCAAAGCACTGGTGTGTTCTCAGCACCTCTCCAGCTACCAATGAAAACCACAGCGCTGTGAGGGCTGCTATGGTGAAAATTAACTCTGTCCCAGCTAGACACAATGCAGTATGTTACAGGCACAGTTTCTCTTGAGAGCTAATTTCTTGCACAGAAGTGAGATTTTTTTTTTTTTTTTAGTGAAAATACACGAACACAACTTTTCTTTACATTTCTTGCATTTATTCTGCCATTAAATTTTATTAAACGTATGTATCCT